TACGGTGTGGAATCAAGCTGTAAATCAAAAAAATAAAAAATTGGTATTCTCGTAAGCAATGCCGTCTCAGTATATTATTTTTGGATTGGCTTTTTTGGGGTATGTTCATTCACTTTTGAAAGGTTTGGCATAACTACACTGAAGGAAAGATTGGCTGTGACGTTAAAACTATTGCTGGGTATGTTGTCATACTCCCTGCCGGATGAGGTGGTTTGATACACATAACCCATAAGTATAAGTTTACTTTCGGCAAATTTTATTGCGACCCAGATCGAGTTATTGAGTTGTGACAGAATTAGTTTACTGAAGTGAGTTGCAGATATGGAATGTTTAGTACAAATTAGTGTTCGACCCCTAAGGCTTGTTTCTGTGCCCTCGAAAAAGGTTGCGGTTATCGGTTCTAAGGCTGCCATCAGGGATTTCGCCTGTGTAACAGGCTTCAGTGATCATAATCAGTGGCAGTTTGCACATGAAAGTTAATGTACTTAGTTTGAAATGTTTGTTTAGAACCGACCTAGTATTTACTACAGCAATAGATAAACTTTCGCCACGCGGTTTGAATGTGCGAACAATATAATGATGAAATATTCACCACTTGTGTGCATGTTTTTAGACAAACCTACCACTATATTTGAGTCACTGGAAGAATTTCGGTAGTCCTGAGAGGTGGTGTTCTATGGAATCGACGCCTGATGTGCTCAATAGAAATAACTCAGCACCGATCCAGACATGGAAAATATTACCATCGATGATACCAAATGATAAGAAATGGCGGAGATATACAAGCTAGTTTGGAAATTAATGTCAGCGCCTTGGTTTGATTATAGGCATCAGACTGTGCTTCAAACGTCACCAGTAAATGACAATGTTTGCCTTTGTGAATTTATCAAAAATATTTGCTGTATGATGGAACTTCACTCTACAAAATTGCCTAAGTTCTGCACTCATAGACTTGTGACAAGATTTCTTCGACTGCATTTCATAGGGCATGCTGCTAATCAAGATAGCCAGTTGTTCACACTCTCTGAATGACTTCGAGTGGATCTCAGATTCTATTCAACCAGGAATAGTGCTAATGATAATTATGTGGGCATCCATCCCACAAGACCTGAGCTTTTGCCACACTACATTCTGACTCTCTGGACTAGCCAAGCTAACCTGGTGGCTGGCTCAGTGGTGGCATCCCGATAAGGTAATTTCATCACATGAGTCTCCAACCACGATACCGGGAGAATCTTCTCCACTCTGGCTAGCCTGTCGCAGTTACCCCAAATAACCAGTTGTAATAACCTGCGTCACCACCAAGATATATTCGTATCCACTTGATCATCATTACATCTCAAGGATTCTTAACACACTTGGGTGCCAAGAAATTGCATCACTCCACCTGCTTACTACTTCTGTAGTCAAGCGCTGAACTAATGGTAAATTTAGTTATACTAATAATACTGCTGCTTATCAGCTAAGAGTAAGCCCTTTCTCTTGTGCAGTTGTTGCTGTTTTCCGCTTTCTGTTACGGATTCTCGATACACAGTGGACGTTACAGATTCCCGGAGCTCCTTCTCCTAGTTCCGTGCAGTAACTTCCTTAAATGAGCTGGATCCACCCTAGTTCATTCTGATTGGGGAGTGGAACATGGGTTTGTCATATCAACCGAGCCTCAGCCGCTTCGCACTCAACGATCAGCGGGTTTGCCCTCGCTGGTTTATTTAAGGCGCGGACAGTCGGACCGAAGACAGGAAAGGGGTTTCTGAGTTGTGGTGTGACTGCGTATCTCTATATTTTGCTTATCCAGTCACTAATAAATGCAACCTTGGACAACTGTAATCACAGTCTTCTGACTTCATTCATTATGGTGGTACTAAGAATGGTCTGGTCACTAGGTCAGGTGAACCAGGATAAGAAGTCGTCAAGTGGCGTGGCCAAATCTCAAGTTAATCAAAGCATACGCTCATATAACAATCGTTAGCGTTATTTCATTTTGAAGCTAATAGGAAGCAACCCCAAAGTCATCAAAGCAGATCAATTAAATTCCTTCCAAATGTATTGCAACACTGTTAATTCTCCACACATTCGGACAAACTGATGTAGAGATAATAGTTAATGCACATATTTTGCAGTGAAATCATTATTTGCATATGTTTCCTGTGCTCAAGTTCCCTTGCTTCCCTTTCAAATTTTCCACAAGATTTCAGTAAGGTATTGCATTTTTCGTCTTCGCCATCTAATTCACCCATGCACAATTCAGTATTCCTGCCGAAGGAATCTCACACAATACGCTGCTTACGAAATTATGCTGGCAGCATCCTCAAGTTATATAAATATATAAACTCATGAATTGCTACCGTCTACACCTGAAATCTGGTTTATTAAATCGAAAACGCTGAGCTGTAACTGATCAACCCGCGTAAAACTGATGACAAGAAATCAACGGTCATCCAGTAAATAAAAGTGGTTATCACTGCCGTTCGAATTAAATTTCCTGCTATGCTGAAAATACGCATGATAAGGAGGAGAAAAAGACCCTCTGAAATTTCACAATAGTGTTAAGCAGAGTTCATGACAGCCGTGGTCAAATTATCCCATATTCCAGTCTGTTTTCGCACCATTTTCAGGATATGAAATCATTTTAACATCCATCGCCTAGATAGTCATGAACAGTGTTGATGATTTGAAGTGTCATCACGTTTCTAGGATGCGTAGTGATTCAGCACAAATTTAACCAATACACCGTAAGGGGGCCTGCATTTCTGATAGAGCTTATTAAGTAAGGGATGGAAGAAAAGGATATCCAGTAATTCACGACATAAATTCTCCCCATTGGTCTCTAAGTTTTAAACGTATTCAGAAGAAAACTCGAATACAAGGAGAAGGTGGACTAAGTAAAACGCTTTTCGGATTGACTTTAAGTAGAGTTGACTCAGCCTCATGACGATAATATACCATCTTAATTTCATTTATATCCCTTGGTTTAGCACGGTGCTACCTTATATATATATATGTATATATATATGGGATTCCGTACACGAGTGTTTAAAATAACACTTAGGCACAATGTGATTCCAGGTAACATAATGTACATGTGAAACGGTTTATTTTCAAGTTTTTTAAGGACGGAAACACTTTACGTACATCCTCACTTCTTCTAGGTTTACAAAAAATTTGGTAAAACAAGGGCGTTGCTGCAGGAACTTACATGGAAAACGAGATTGTGAAGGGTGCCGACCAATCATTCCGAGATTTATCAGGAGGCTTTATCCTGATTCAGTGGTTTAGCTGATTTAACCGGCCTACTGATTTCCATAGTCCGAGCGTTAGTATTTGTGTAGCTAGCTATCACTCGTCAAAGTCTTTCATTAACCACGCAGTGTGGATAAGTCATGTCTTTTGCAACACTGTCCATGGAGTTACCCCTTGGGATCTCAAGGGTTTTAAATGCCACGTGGCTACTTTTAAAACGTCCCATGCATATTAGACTAAGGAAGGGTCCTGATCTACCACATTCCGCTCATACGTGTGGCTAGGAATCCACGGCCTTGGGTATATACATCACTCCTCACTGTTCTCTTGAAGCATATGGCCACAAGCTAGTCATCCGTATTCAAAGTTTGTCAACTTATATATCATGATCAAGTTTGTACTTATCAGCGCTCTTTTGTTTCCCCCCTTTGCGTCCCTAGTTGTAGCATCCGAAATCCTTATCAACCTCATTTTACAGCTGTATGACAGTGCTACGTGTCAAGTGACCCACAAAGTATTACTCAGTGAGGCATTTGAAGTGAAGATAGAAGAAAGAATCGGCCGGCTACTATCACTTATAGCATTCCTGATTGTTGTGGAGTGGGTTATGCGGAAGACTATGGGGAGCGAGGGGATGGGACTACTTCGGACTGATAAGAACTCCAGGAAATTTGTACACCGCAGATAAATTATGCACAGTGGCAAACAAACTCGAATATCCACAGGCAAAAACCAACAAACTGGCTTAAGAATGCAACAAAGACAGGACTTCAAGTGAACATATAGAAGATGGAGGTGATGAGAATAACCAACCAAGATCGACTACAAGAATTAATCATTACTTCAGAAAAATTTTATATTGTAATATGGCGATGGCTGAGTTTTAATGAATGCTGTGTGCTCTTCAAAACTCTTTCAAACTATCAGAAGAAGTCTGAAATGTGCTACGCAAGTGATCAGTTCACGCTTCGAGAAGAAGGCACGATTCTAGGAATGGTTATAAAGAGAAATACCATGTTAGCCACTGGACGCCTAAACCTATTCCTATTATCACACTGAAGTAGCGGGAGTGAGCTAATTTCGGCTCATCGCCCACTGGACTTCAACCTCCTAAACACCACTGACAGATCAACTTAAATGGTGTGCGAACCACACTCAAACGTTATACGTGTGGGATTCAGGTTCTCACATAAGGCAGTCGAATACCATATATCCCTATCCGAAAGAGTGGTATCGGTTCCATCTGTGAAACACTCTGCAACAAAGACTACCATGTTTTATATTCTCACCCTGAATTCAAGATAAACTAAGGTACTTCTCCTTATTGCGTCCAGCAGGGCTGTCCAAGGGATAGATCACACTGAAATTCTCCACAGATAGAGGAATGTTCAGGAACAACAAGAGACGAAATCCAGGGACCCACAAATTTTAAAAAGCTGTAAAAAAATACTGAATGTTAGACATGTAATCGATTTCTCCTTAACAAGCTCATTATTTCATTTTTTATTTTCTGTAATTATAAATTGATTTCACACAGTATTTTGGTACAACTATGGAATTTTCAGCCTGTTATATCGGTAGACCAAATTTAGCAGGGTGATCATTGATATCAGGTATTTACTTACACTATGACAGTCTAAATGATACTGGTAACTTCCAGGGGAATCACCAAATCGTAGAAAGGTGTGTCATTCACAAGAAGAGTGCCTTATTGACTCACGACGTATAACCAAAGGGGTTTGTTTAAGTTAACTTATTTTGCAAGGTGACCTTCGAGAGATATATTGAATGTGTAATGAAATGGACTAGATTTATTAAACAAGAAGTTAGTTCGTTCTTATGATTCTGGTTTTATTCTTCGTTGTTAGTTTTTATGCAGTCGATTTCGCTTTGATGATTTTTTCACATGAATTTGATTTGTAAATAATTTGCTTCTTCAGGAATGTATGGTTTTTCAATTATTAACAGTACATTTACTATAGTAAGCGTAAAGCTCTATACAGTATGCACTTAAAAAACTGACGAAAATTCTGTTTCCTTGTAGCAGCCCATGCGATATTTTTCTTTGGGTAATCTACTCCCTAAATAGGTTTTACACGTCAATGGGTACCGATAACACGTGTTATCAAATTTGCTTTCACTTTTTGGAGAACACTACGTTTTTAAGATTAATTCTGTTTTTATACATTTAAAAACTGACATATTCTACAGAGGGTTAATGTTAAAAATCTAGTACTATAGTATTCGATTTACTCACAATAAAATTTTAGAGTTATTTCAGAATTAGCGAGATTTCATTCAGCATTATAATAAACTCGTGTTTTTTGTGAAAATATCAAATACAATCTATGACACCTAGGAGGCGAAGTTTCTGAACAGTAAATGATTTTCAAAATTCCACCGTTAATAGATATCACATTTTGATTATTTCAGTGACAATAAGCCTATGGAGCGATTGCGCTACTCTTCTGTAATAAGGCTGTTGATGTTCATATTCTTAAATTGGAAAAATGAAGTCTGTCAGCGAAAGTGAGTTGTTCACATCGCTGAATCAGTTGCAGTAAACAGTATGCAGATGTGGTATGGATGCAATAGTCCCTTGCCACTACCATTTGCATTCCTCTTGTGGCATCAACAAGAGTTAAATTGCAGAGTAACACTCTTATCTAACATTGACATATTAGCGTAGGGCCTATACATTTTATTAAACTTAGTCGAGTAATTTACTGAACTGAATCTTGTATTACCTCTACTTAAGTGTAGTTTTGTTCATGAAATGGCATCTTTCACTTGAAAATAAACCAACATAGACATCAAAATGTAAGAGTTGGTATTTTCTGCTTTCTTAATTTACCTCAGCTTTCAGGTGTCACTTATTCCCTCTCCTTGTTGTAGGGTTTCTACTTTTTCACGTACTTTTCTGTGTTTTTTTTTTAAATTTCCTGCGTTGATCGGTAGCTTCTCCTTAGTTTGATATATGTTCTGTCCATGAAAACAAACTAGTGGGCTTTCTGTCTCCAGGGTGGCTTTACTTATCTTGTTTTGCTTCAAAAATAATCATTTGTGTCTTTATGGCTTCTGATTCCATCTGTTTTATCAGTTAGTTCACAGTATAGTGCATACTGACTTCACTTAAATATGAGCTCACCTTCTTCCATATTGGAAACAAACGTTAACAGTATCCTTGCATTAAAAAAAACTTGGTTAAGTATATCCTGTTACCTAAATTCACATATTTGTTAATTCCAATGATTGTTAACATATTCAACAGTGCTGTTACATATAAGTAATGCAGCGCTAACATCCCAGTTAAGAGCTGAGCTGTTCTTGAGTTTTTCTTTTTTTAAAATTAATTGAAAACTTTTCCATAATTTGTTTACATCCTAGATCATAAAATATAGCCCGTTTTATTTCATATCCACTGCGTTGTTGAAGCAATAGGGAAGATTTATAGCTCAGCATCTGGGTAAGATTTATTTGTTCCTCGGGCTTTCAAGTAAATGCTGAATATGTCAGGTTGTGTGGTGTTCAGATCTTCATAGTTAGATGGAAAGCTCAGAAAACGTAGAGCATTTTCTCTTTTAGATGTAAGTACTAAGACTATCGTCTCTCCTTTTAGTTGTGCGACAGTAGATCTCTTCTTTAGAGTTTCCTAGGTATTATTTTTATTATTATTGTATTATTTTTCCTTTAATTCCTAGAGGAACATAGGGCTTCAGCCGTGCATCTCCATTGCGTTCGGTTCTCTGCTAGAGTTTTCACCTGGCTCCATGTCTGCCCACACGTTTTTATCTCCTCTTCACATGACCTCCTCCAAGTCACCCTTGCACTGACGACCAATTCGCCGCTTCCCATTCGGTCGGGTTCCACTCGAGCAATGGCTTGTCTAGTGATGTCACTTGATGGTTTCCTCAGAGTATGGTGTACAATCCACCTCCATTTCTTCCTGCCTATTTGTTGCACAATCGGTTCCTGGTTGGTTCGCTCCCAGAGATTTATGTTGCTGATCTTTTCTGGCCGGCCATCTGATCTTGATTATTGAGCGAAGACAACTGTTAATGAAGGTTTGTAGTTTGTTTGAAGTGTTCTTCATGACGCGCAGTGCAAGTCTCTGATCCGACCGATAGCTGCTACCTTAACGTGGTGGTCGGGCTTGCATATCGCAATGACCCAACGAGCTACACTGGCTGGAACTTATGTTCCTGTAGGTCCTACCATTCCAGAAAGGTTGTTTGGATAGCGGTTAGACAAAAAGCAGCTACCCAATCCAATATTATGATTCAAACAAACTCACAAAATGTCATGCCGGATTAACAACGACCGCGCTTCCTGCTGCCGTGTCACAGGGTAGAAGTGATAAATATGCTACTGTGACACACCAAATGAAATTTTCACTTGATTAATAAAGGCCCTGAAAAGACCGCATCTTTTCACGGCACATAACATCCCAATGAAGTGTGATATGTGTAGTTTGTTAGTTCAAGCTGCTTTTGGGTAAATGTGACGTGGCGGTCTCTCTACTCAACCATTCCACTTAGATTGTTGTGTTTTCGGAGAAGGATAAAAATAAGATCTAGAGTTTCTCACTAAAGACATAGTGTTCCAAGTAGCATTTCAATTTGTACAGTGTATAAAGCTTTGGTGTGTGTACAGTCTTCTTCGACGTATATGCGACGTGGCTTCTTTAACTTAAAAATACTGGGCTGACAGTTTTGGCAATAGTTGTGTTGCTTATACTGCTCATGGCAAAGCCATCTTAATAATTCTGAGGTTCGATGGCGTGTGTGTTTTGGCTAACTGGAGGTGGTCCCTTAAGTAAATGTCAAGGCATAACCCTTACTAACCTCTAGTAGTGGTGGTGTGGTTGCTTATACTCTATGATGTAGTATGCGATGATAATAAATACTCTTTCAAATGTAATTGGTGCATATTCGTACCTGTTTTGTTATGTTCTTTGCCAGCTGTTTTACTTCTCTTTTCTTAATATTGATTTGTGGCTATCTTGTATAGCTCACTTATTGGTATCCATACTGAAGTAAGTTTGAGTTTGAATAGATAAACAATAATACCGCATAAGTTTAGAGCATAAAATCTTTGGTAAAAGAGTCTTCATCGTTTGAGGTGGCTAGGATGTGAGGTACACACACTTGTCTACTGTTTACTTTGAAGTGTAGTCCTAACTGAAGAAGAATTGGACTAAGTATAGTCATACCAGTATTTGGAACTAATCTATGACATTATTAACTATTGATTTGAGTTGTATAGATTGGCTGGTTTGTGTATGTGGTGGACTTGTGGTTAAGGATTGTTGGTGATATAATTTGACCCAACCGATAGCTGCTACCTTGACGTGGTGGTCGGGCTTGCACATCGCGATGACCCAACAAGCTACACTGGGTGGGTAATGTTCCTGCAGGTCCTACCATGCCAGGAAGGTTGTTAGACTAAAAGCAGTTACCGGCATTGTGTAAGAATCTCTCTTACACTATGCTGGGGGTCTGAGGGCGAAGTTGTACTTCTGGGGAACATGGGTGTAACAGCAGTGAGGTGTTTCCCTCAGATGACCAACATGCCAGCCAGTTATGCTGTCTTTCCACTACGGAGAGAGAGGGTTAAAAAAGGCTGTCCCCGAAAATTGTACATCCCGACTTACCCTACGGTGTTTCGTAACCGGCGGTAAGTTTACTAATACGGAACCAATCTCAGAAACCAGTCCTTACAGGCCGTGTGTCACCGGCCTCAAGCAGTTGTCCCCTGGGCTCTGCGGTCACGCAACACTAACCTTCTTTCTGTTTCAGGTACGCGAAGAATCAATCAACTTCCACGATGTGGGCAGCCGGGAAGTAACAACCGCCCACACACTTCCAAAAGCACACGAAGCCTTCCTGAGCATCATTCTCCTTTACTCACATCACCTTCCTCATCTTGCTTCTGTACTACATTTAGTACTATTCTGCTAGGTAAGGAAGGGAAGTCAATCGACGAGGCTGTGAAATTACATCGGCTGAGATGGTTAGAACATGTGTTACGTATGCCTAGTTAACGCCTTCCTCGACGGGAAATGTTAGCTGATATAGGGTCAGGCTGGAAAAGAGCTAGCTAGTGGTGGTCAAAGCAAAACATGACACCAGTCAATAGAATCCACAACAGTTAGTTTAAGCCACGTAAGAAAGTGTAGACTGTCTTCCCGGTTGGGGTCCTCAGGACGGTAAAAACCAATGGTTGGAAACAATTGGTGATATGGCTCAAAATCGTTCTCAATGGCTGTCCGGTGCAGATGCATCCACTCCTTTTGACTTATAATTTCCAATGAAACTATATTGTTCTTCGTTATTACTATTCCTTTGTCTCACACCTCTGTTTACTGTCTATATTATTCATTTCTTCTACTTTCTTCTCTTGCTTTGTGTGCTACAAAGAGTGGAGTGTGGCGAATTAAACTGCCTCACATCGGTGCAACCTTCTATGTCGAAAACAGAGATAAACAGACAGATATAACTTGAAATAAACTACTATGCAGTAAATACGTCAAACCATTATTTTTATTTTTAGTGTAACGCAATTTTTTCTACCTTCCTGTTTACTATTTTTTCCCCTCATGATGTCAGAGTGAATGAACAAAGGCTTTGCACAAAATGTGCGCCTAGAAATGATGTAGATTTAAAGAGTGTAGAAAAAAGATCACCTATAACGATGCAGGCTACAGACAACGGATATAAGATTGATTTCGACAATGTCAGAATGATATTAGATGGTTGGAAGCAATTGGCCACAGGAAGCCTCGCCTTGGACCTAGGTTTCGTGCTAGTTGGCATTCACCAGTCC